AGGGCGCCCCGGAGCCCGGCGCCCCGCCTGAGGGGTGGCCCTCCTCCCGAATAAGGGCCCGGGCGGGGGGAGGGGCAGAAGCACCCTCTCAGCTCCCTGCTCCGCTGCTGGGCCCCCCTTTCCTGCAGGGAGACCGAAGGGGTCCCCAGCACCGCCATCAGGGAGATCTCCCTGCTCAAGGAGCTTAAGCACCCCAACATCGTCAGGTGAGCCGGGGCGGGAGGCGGGGGGCCCGGCCCCCTCCCCGCCCCCGAGGCCGCCTCCTGACTGGTCCCCCCCAGGCTGCTGGACGTGGTGCACAGCGAGAAGAAGCTGTACCTGGTGTTCGAGTTCCTCAGCCAGGACCTCAAGAAGTTCATGGACTCCACGCCGGTCTCCGAGCTCCCCCTGCACCTAGTCAAGGTACCGCGGGAAGGACGGACAGACGGACAGACGGACGGGGAAGGCGGCCGACCCCCTGCTCAGCTAGCGCCCCCTCGCTGTTCCAGAGTTACCTCTTCCAGCTGCTGCAGGGGGTCAACTTCTGCCACTCCCATCGGGTCATCCACCGCGACCTGAAGCCCCAGAACCTGCTCATCAGCGACTTGGGCGCCATCAAGCTGGCCGACTTCGGGCTGGCCCGAGCCTTCGGGGTGCCCCTGCGCACCTACACCCACGAGGTAACCGTGGGACAGAGGGGAGGGGAGGGCGGCTGAGGGGAAGTTGCCCACACCCTCGGCTACCCCCCGAACAATGTGGTTTTCTTGTCCCCACAGGTGGTGACGCTGTGGTATCGCGCCCCGGAGATCCTCCTGGGCAGCAGGTTCTATTCGACAGCGGTGGACATCTGGAGCATCGGTTGCATCTTTGCAGAGATGGTAGAGTGAGGGACGGACGTGGCCCCGGGGAGGGCCCCACTGAGGTGGGGTGGGGGCCCTGAGTCACCTGTCAGAGGCGGATTGAGGGACTGGCGAAAGGACTGAGGAATTGAGCTTTATTCCAGAAAGGCCAGGGTTCTCAGCCAGCCCCGGGAGGGGTCTGGACAGTGCCTCCCTGGCCCAGCCCTTCTCTGGTATTGGATTCTGAATGATCAGGAGGGGACCCCTAACTGTCACCTCTTCCCCATCCCAGGTGACCTGCAAAGCTCTGTTTCCCGGTGACTCTGAGATTGACCAGCTCTTCCGCATCTTTCGGACCCTGGGGACACCCAGTGAAGCCACGTGGCCAGGTGTCACCCAGCTGCCTGACTATAAGGGCAGCTTCCCCAAGTGGACCAGGAAGGGGCTGGAGAACGTTGTGCCCAATCTGGAGCCGGAGGGCAAGGACCTGCTCATGGTAGGTACAGGTAGGCGGCCTGGAGGGCAAGAAAGGCCTCCTAGCTCCAGCTGCTGCTCCAAGCAGAAGTGTCCCTGTAGTTAACCAGCGTCCTGTGTAACTCTGGCTCCTTCTGAGTCCAGGCTGGTCCCTTTTCTGACCTTTGTCCACAACCAGCTTGTCCCAGTCCCTGAGCGTATTGATTGTTCCACCTAGAGGCCTCTCCTGTCATAAGTCCAGTGTTCACTGTTTCTTTGTAAACGTCTCTTTTCTAGTTAGCTTGGTTTTTATGCTGTGATTCTTGCCCTATTTTGCCGTTGCCTTGTGTTCTTGGTAACTTTCCCTGTGGTCTAAACTGTAAGCTTTTCCAGGCGGGGACCACACCCCCTACTGCGTCAGTATCCCCACAGTGCCTTCCACAGTGGTTACTCCCACACAAGGCTATTCCCTGCCGCCTGGGCCCCTGCTCTGTCTCTCCCCTCCTGTTGCACCATCTTGATCCCTTGGGCTGGCCCAGGCCAGACTGCCCTGGTGGCCTTAGTAGAGCCATCTGTTCTTACGCACAAAGCCTGGGAGACACCTTTCTCCCTGGTTCAGAGGAAGGCTGGGCCGTGTTTCCATCTTCAGGCTACGTGTCTAGTTTTCCAGAAGTCAGCGTGTGTACCTACCCAGTGCCAGCAGGACAGCACACACTTCCCACCAAAGCTCTCAGCACTGTCCTGGCAACTCCCACTCCGAGGCAGTGGGTCCTTCCACAGCTTGGCTGGGAATAGGGACTGGGAGTTCCTGCCCCACCCTGGCAGGTTTGGCCCCATACTTCCCGATACACAGAGAGAAGTCTGTCTCGGCTAGAAGTAGGCTGGGGCCTGGAAACCGCAGTACGGGAACCTCAGTGAGGAAGGGAGAGACTGACTCAGCTGGGCTGGACCAGAACTAATTCTTGGTCTCCACATCCCAGGGGTGTTCACACTGGCTCCTGAGCTGGGAGGTAGTAGCTGTGTGCAGTTCTGGGTCTGAAGGCAGCACACTGGGGCTTAGGGCCCACCGGCCAGGATTATCCTGGGAGGGCCATTCCTCTCCCCACCCTGGACCATACACGCCCAGTCTCTCTCCTCCCCCTCTTCCTTCCTTCACAGCAACTCCTGCAGTACGACCCCAGCCAGCGGATCTCAGCCAAGGGCGCCCTTGCCCATCCATACTTCCTGTCCACCGAGACCTCCCCAGCCCCCCACCAGTGTGTGCTGGAGCGTTTTTGCCGCTGAGAGCAGATGAGGCCACCACCTGAAAGCCTCCCTCCAGCTGCTGCCCCAGCTGCCTTTTCACCGGTTTCCCAAGAAAGGAAACACGTCTGTGGAGAGAGCAGAGGTCTATGGAATTTGGCATCAGCCATAAGAGGGCCGAGTCTGGGTTGGTCCTGCCAACAAGTTAGCGAGTTCCTGTGTTGTTTGTTGGGTTCCACGGTGCCATTTCAAGATGGCACAGAAGCTCCATGCAAGAGGGGCTAAGTTAGATCCTGGGTCTCCTGGCACTGGGGTAACCGGCCAAGGAGGGCAGAAAGCCTTCCCTGGCCACTGCTCACGGGCAAGGCACTCCTCTGCCCTTCACCTGCCCAGCCCTCAGCTGCAGAGCCAGACCCTGAGGGAAAGGGTGCCCCCTGCTGGTCTTTTTGGATTTAAAATGTTTTGGGGAAGAGTTGAGTTCCAGTTAAAAAGTCCCAAGTAAAGCAGGATGCAGGGTGGCTGAGAGAAGGGACATTTTCCTGGTCCCAGGTGTGTGTGTGTCCTAAGTAGTTGTTACCTAGGATATGCTTACATTTGTTTGCCTCTGGATTTAAAATCAGGAAATAAAAGTGATGTACTCCAAGTTTTCCCGTGCTTTTCTGCTGGGGGCACATCAGGGACTTGCCTGTCCACGATCTCCTTCCATGACCTGCCGGCATATCCCTCCCAGAGTCACGGGGGCCCGTTTCCTCTGAGGCCCAGTGTGAATGTCCACTCCCTAGCTGGGAAGGACTGAAGCAGAGGGGTCCCTTGTGTCCTGCCCCAGACAGATCCACTCTGCACTCCCACATGTGAACAAGATGCTGGAAGAATTCGTTTATTGCAAGTACTGGGTAGGGGAGGAACAGATCTACGGATCTCCAGGTCTGGGGATGGAGTGGGCACCTAAATTAGGGGAGGGAGCCCAACACCGCGAATGTTGAGTCAGAACAGGGATCAGGCAGAGGGGAGACCCACCCCCTGGATGAGGCTGCTCTGGGGTGAGGGGTGCATGCATCCTCCCCCTCCCCCACATACACTCCCATGACTTTGCCCCATCAGCGCAGCGTGTGGGGTACGGTGGGGGAGGCTGCGCGGTAGCAGCGGTACCCCTCCAGTGCGGCCGGGATGAGCAGCAGGCCACTCAGGGGGTCCTTCCGGCAGCGCCCCATGGCTTCCTTATAATTCAGCCGCTCCTTGGAGATGGGGTCTGTTAGATCCTTCTCGTAGCTGGACTCATCCTGCAGGAGCTGGGCCAGCTCCTCACTGATCATTCCCGAGAGCAGGGCTTGCGGGACAGGGATGCGGCCTGTCCTCTTGGGGTCAATGAGCCCCCCGGTCAAGTGCTGCACCAGCAGGTGGGGGAACACGCTCTCCCAGGGCATCCAGCCCTTCTGGATGGCCTCGCCCACCGACAACCGCTTCTTGGTGATGGGATCCTCGATGCCGGTGAAGGCCTTCTGGGCGTTGAGCAGCCTCTGCGTGGAGCTGTTCTCGATCAGCCCCCTCTCCATGGCCTTGTGCACGGAGTAGCGCTCCCGGCTGAGGAGGTCCACGATGCCCCCCGTGGCCGCCTGGGCCTCCAGCAGCTTCTGCCCCGTGATGGGGTCCAGCATGTTCTTGGCCATGGCCGTCTTGATGGTGCACTTGTTGTCTGTGGTCGTGTCGTAGACCCCGGCAATGGGGAAGCTGTCATCGCCGAGCCCGAGAGAGAAGCCGGGAGAGAAGAAACAAGTGCTCTGCTGGGCTGGGGAGGCGAGTGGGGACTTGGAAATGATGGAGCCAATAGAGAGCGAGGAGCAGGGCTTGGTCTCCCCCGCCACGAGCAGGGCGAACTCGGAGATGGGCAGGAGGCCGTCCTTGTAGAGATGGTACTCCTCCTTGGAGATGCGCCGGCAGTGTAGGGCGGTCTCGATGGAGTACTGTTTCCCGCTCTTTCGATCCAGGAGCACCGACTCCTCCCCACAGGGGCCCGAGGTGGTGACCTCCTCCCAGTCACACTCGAGCTCCTGCAGCTGGAGGTACTGGCCTCGGTCGATGATGCCCCTCTTGTAGGCCTCGTACGGGGACAGGTCCTTCCCTGTCTCGGGCTCCAAGATACAGATCTTGGTGGAAAGGTTGGTCTCTCGCGTCTGGGTCTCCTGGTTGAGCTCCTCCCGGCTCACCTTGGTGTGGAGTTCCCGGAGGGTCCTCTCCTTCGCATGGATCTGGTCCTTCTCCTGGAGGATGGCCGCCTGGAGCTGCGAGAGCTCCTGGCCCTGCTGGGAGGCCCTCTGCCGCTCGCTCTCGGTCTTCTGGCTGAGCAGCTTCGACTCTTCCTGCAGCTGCAGCACCCTCTGCTGCTTCTGCCTCTCGAGCTCCCGCAGCTCCTGCTGCCGCTGCCTGCACTCCTGGCTCGCCTGGCTCCGGGCCTTCTGGAGCTCGGCCTCCTCCCGGGCCCAGGTCCTGCTCAGCCCCTCGGCCCTGTCAATGCGCTCCCGGAGGCGCTGCACCTCCTCCTCGCGGCCCTTCCGGCCCGAGCGCTCCCTGTTGAGCATCTCCCACACCCGGGACCGCTCGCCCTCCAGCACCCGGTCCTTCTCCACCCTGATCACCTCCTTGTAGATGGTCTTCTCTTGCGACTTGGTTTTCTGGAGGACGTCGATCTGCACCTGCAGGTTGTTGCGCTCCCGGTGCAGCTCCGTCACCTGGGCCTTCTCCCGGTCCAGGTCCTGCCGCAGGGCCTCCGCAGACTTCTCCAGGCCCGGGTCCTTCTCCAGCTTGACCACCTCCTCCATGATGATCTTCTCCTGCACCGCGGGGGGCCGCTTCTCCAGCTCCTGGATCCGCAGGGTCAGCTGCCGCAGCTCCTTCTCCACGGCCAGCTTCTTGTCGCGGTCCTCCTGGAAGCTGAGCAGGCCCTCCTCCTGCTCCACGCTCGCCAGCAGCTGCCGCACCTCCAGCTCCAGCTGCCGCCGCCGGCCCACCTCCTCGTCCAGGCTCTGGCTCAGCCGGCTGTGGTCCTCGTGGAGCTTCGGGTCCTTCTGGGTGACCACCACCTCCTGCACCACCACCTTCTCCTCGGGCCGCCTCCTCTCCAGGAGCAGGTACTTGTTCTGCAGCTCGTAGACCGCGTCCTCGGCGGCCCGCCGCTTCTGCGCCGCCTCCCGCACCTCCTGGCGGAGCCGCTCGGCCTCCTTCTCCAGGACCGGGTCCTTCTCGTGGCGCACCACCTCCTTGCTCACCGTCTTGGTCTCCACCTTGGACCGCTCCCGCTTCCACTCATCCCGCTCCCCCTGCAGCCGGATGCGCTGCTCCTGGGCCCGCCCGCTGGTGTTGACCAGCTCGTTGAGCTGGGCCTTCAGGCGGTCAATTTCCCGCAGTACCTCCGGGTTCTTCTCGTGCTTGACCACCTCCTGCGTCACCTCCTTGTACTCCACCAGGGGCTTCTGGGCCCGCAGGACCGCCAGGTCAGGCAGCAGCCTCTCCACCTCCCTCTCCACGCCGCTCCTCTTGCTGGCGGTCTCCTGCAGCTCGGCCCGGAGCCGCGCAATCTCCAGCTCCGTCTCCGGATCCACCTGGAAGATCTCGCGGACGCGCTCCTGGAGCTCCACCTTGGGCTTCTGCTTCCCCACCTCGCTGTACTTGCCCTGCAGCTCCTTCAGCTCCTTGGCCAGCACGGCGTTCCTACTCCTCTCCCCCTCGAGGAGGCCGCGCAGCCTGGACGCCTCCTTGATGAGGCCTGGGTCCTGCTCCACCCTCTTCACCTCCTTCACGACCACCTTGGGCTGCACAGCGCTGATGGCCCGCTCCAGGTCTCCGATGCGAGCCTGCAGCTGCGCCGCCGCCTCCTCCGCCCTCTTCCTCTGCGCCATGTCCTCCGCGATCTTCAGCCTCAGGGCCCGGGCTGCCGCGACCATTCCCAGGTCCTTCTCCACCTTGACCACTTCCTTCACCACGACCCTCTCCCTCACGTCGGCCGCCTCCTGCTCCAGCGCCAGCAGCTCCCTCTTCAGCCCCTCCAGCCGGGCCGAGACAGCTGTGTTCTCCGCCCGCAGGTGCTGGATCTCACTGCTGAGCTGGGCCGCCTGGCTGTCCAGACCTGGGTCCTTCTCTACCTGGGTGACCTCCTTGGTCAGCAGATGAGGCTGCATGGCCTTCCTCTTGCCCTCCAGCTGCACGACCTTCTGGGACGCCACCTCCAGGTCTGCCTGCAGGCCAGCCCGCTTCCTGCCCTCTTCCTCCACCTGGGACTTCACCCGGGACAGGCTGCCCTCCAGCTGGGGGTCCCGGTAAAGCTCCACCACTTCCTTCTCCTCCAGCCTCTCCAAGGGCCGCTGGGTCCTCAGCCGCAGCAGCTGTTTCCTCTGCTCCTCCAGCTCGTGCTGCACCCGGGCCACCCGCTTTCGCTCGTCCTCCAGCTGGGCCTTCAGCGCCTCTGACTCCCTGCCTGCTTGGGCTGGGCTCGCAGACCCCCTCTGCACGCCAAGGGCCGCCTGGATGTCCTCGCTGAGCTCCTTCTGCAGAGTGAGGGGAACAGGGGAGAGGACTGTGGAGGAACAGACACCCTTCCCCGCTTCCCGAGACATCCTTCCCGGTGGGTTCCGGGAGGCAGAGCTGAAGACCTGAGACGCTTGGATGCAGGATTTTGAGAGGACCCATTAATCCCAGGATGTCAGGAGGCAAGGCAGGGTCCAGGCCAAGCCTGCACTGTAATGTGCAAATAGGACAGGTGTTCCCTTCCAACCTTCCTCCTTCCCCTTCTATCTGCACACCCCTCTGGGGGACACTGGAGTACTGCTCTGGGTAGGAAAGCTGGCCAGTCCCTCGGTCAGTCACCAAGAGTCACGAAGAGGAGACCTTGGTGGCCTTGCCCATTGCTGGGTCCTAAGGCTGAAGACTTTGTGGGCATTTTCTCCTGTTTCCCCCCCAGGGGACTGTCCAGTGGCTAAGCTGTGAGCCCCCTGAATGACATCTCCAGGATCTACTCTGAGATGGAGCCCAGCCTATAAGAGCTTCTGGGGAGAGAAGTGGGGGAGGCAGAACCCCGGGACTGCAGGTGGTGGGGTGAGGGGGAAGGAAGTCGGCCAGGTCAACAACCAGGCCAGGCTGCCTCTTGCGGGAACGGAGTGGGCATCCTCCCCATACCTTCTCCAGCATCCTTCTGGCAAACTCTAGCTGGTGCAGCTGCTCTTGGTGCATGGCTACAGCCTCCGTGTAGGCTTCTGTCA